GCAAGAACACTATCCGGCTTCATCTTACTTCTTAAATAGATTCAGTCGAGTCAATAGATTAAAAATTACAGATCTAGACAGATCGATATAGAGTGGTTTGGTTACTTTTCTTTCATACTCGTTCTGTTATTTTTGCTCGATTGTATGAGTGCATATTCGTGTGTGTATTAGCGTCTATATGCAATACGCTTCCTAAATCAGACTTATCAAAGGTTAAATCTCCTGTTCTGATCCTTAATACACACGCAAATATGTATTCTCATACAATCGAGCAAAAATAACAGAACGAGTATGAAAGAAAATTAACCAAACCACTCTATCTAGATTTGTCATTTTTAATCTATTGACTCGACTGAGTGTATATAAGAGGTAAGATGAAGCCGGATAGTTTTCTTGCTTTAGTGTTAATGTGAGACTCTTACAAGAATGAAACCCAGCTCTGATGATGTCCATCATATGATGGACAAAGCTTAGCACGTTTTCACCCGAAACGAGGGAGGAAGACTCATGGACTGCGTCAACATGAATATAATATAGAAGCTGAACGGCTGAAATACAACGATTTTCATCCGTCCTCATCTGGTGAGATCGACAAACGAATCTCTTCTTCATGTACTTTCATTCGTGAAGGTCCCCCTAACAATGTCATCTCAGGAGATTCATCGGAACCAGGTTTCTCTTCGTATCTACACCGAACAATTTGTTCACAATTATGCTTCCACAAGGAGTTTGGCTGCCTTGGAGTATCTTTAATTTCGTTTTAACAGGCGAGTGGAAGGGATTCATAATTTGGCTCCACCGGAGGCTGCGGGGGGGAGAGGTGGTTGTAGATTTGTGCGAATAGGTCATTGGAGCACCGCCCTGTAATCCCGACGGATCCTTGCTGAGCTTTTGTCCGTCATGTGGACGACATCGTCAGAGCAGGACGCCATGGTTAACGATAATTCACCAAAAACACGATAGCAGGAAAGGTGGCCGGCTTCAAACCTACTTCCTTCTTATAGTCCAATTTGGTCCACTCAGGCATCTCATGTTTTGGTTGGATGCTCTATAGGATTGCATGTCCTATGCTTTGCCCCTATATTTGCTCTTAAGTTAAGTGGCCGCGAATGACGTGCGAAGTGGCTACAGATGAAGCGTGAAATGGGTGCAATTGAAACCGAACAGCTGCATCCTCCCCCCGCATGTGATTGCGTCCCATTGCACACGCGATGTAAGAGTCAAAACCAAATTTCACCCTTATTTAGCCTCCTCTTCTTCGGTGGTACTTCTCGTTCTCCCCTCCTCTATCCTACAGCTGCAAGTAGTTTCCGCTCAACTTCCTACATACCTATGCGGGATAGACCGGTAGACCCATAAATAAGAGGTTATCCGAAAACAAAACAGCCTGCAAGGGTTTGTGAGTCCAAAAATCGGAATTGGTCGAACACGTGACTCACACAAGGCACCAGATAAATTGGTCTAATGCCAAACGCTCATCTGGATATCAAGACTTATAACATCAGGCGAAAGATTGGTAGGCGATTGAAATCAACAGAATAGCCAGCACCTTGAATAGAAGGAATGAATTCCGGAAGTTAAGTGGAAACTACTTGTAGTTGTAGGATAGGTTTAGATAGAGAGAGAGGGGGGGAGGAATGAGAAGTACCACCGAGCAAGAGGAGGCTTAATTAGGCTGAAATTTGGTTTTCACTCTCATCACACATTCCAATGCATTTGCAATGCATTAACAACACATGTTCAATAGGACGCAATCACATGCAGTAACATTGCAGGATCAAAGACATGCGTGTTTTACTTAAGGATGCAACTGTTCGGTTTCAATTGTACCCATTTCGCGCTTCATCTCTAGCGACTTCACATGTCATCCGCAGCCACTTAACTTATGAGCAAAGCATAGGACATGCAACCAAAACATGAGATGCCTGAGTGGACCAAATTAGGCTATAAGGAGGAAGTAGGTTTGAAGCCGGCCACCTTTCCTGCCATCGTGGTTTTGGTGAATTATCGTTAACCATGGCGTCCTGCTCTGACGATGTCCGCCACATGACGGACAAAAGCTCAGCAAGGATCCGTCGGGGTCGCAGGGCGGTGCTCCAAGGACCTATTCGCACAAATCTACAACCACAGCTTCAAGGTACCCCCTCCCCCACAGCCTCCGGTGGAACCAACTTACGAATCCCTTCAACTCGACTCTTCAAACAAAATGAAAGGTACTCCAACGGGAATCTACTAAGGGATTCTTAGAAACCCAGTTCTTCTACATAGTTTGATTGTCTGTTAGCCAACCTAGTCAGAACAAGTAGATCCTCAACATTTGTGGGTTGGTATACAAGAAACTAGGGCATATAAAGTCATAGACTTGGCAGTATGGATAGAAATAAGATGGGTGAGGCAGATATTTGAGCTAGTTGGCAAACTGTGGACTTGTTTGAGACACGGTCTATGAAGTTAAAAATGTATGTAGTCTCCTATCCAGCTCGAAGATCTAGACTTTGTGGGCCTATTTAGAGATGTGGGAATATGCGTACCATCAAAGGCTGGAGGCATAGCATAGGAAATAACACCTCGAGTAGCTTGGACCGGGCGGTAGGGTTAAAATGAAATACCGGAACCAGGGAGATAGCAGACGGATCCTACGGGGCAAGAGGGATAGCGATAAGACATTAGGGAAGAGGATTGCGGACCAATATGGCATACCCAGATCATCATTCCCAGTACAAAAGTAGGTGCTGGGGATGCGAAAGCTAGCATGGGGTGTGAACAGGTTCTATGAAATCCACTCAAAAGTGCAAATCATACCATATTTGTATAAGCAACTAAGAAATTGTGATACAAACATATATGATGGGTGAATAGCCTAAGACAAGGAGAGATACCACAACTGTTTAGCGGATAATCGGTCAAAGGATCGACTTCATTAATCTTTGACGGGTTGTAGTTTGATACTAATAATGGCAAAGCTCACTGACGATGACGGCGAAAAACTAGAGAATGTTCCAAGTCCACGGTCAGACTGGAAATTATCATGCACACTATGGATTCCAGACTAGGTGAGTTCCCCTAGGTCGTCTTGCCAATATGAACAGGTTGCGAAAACAAGGTCAAACAACTACTATACAACGAAAGGGTACTACAACCATACAAAAGGCCACACCATCTTGGTCTTTATACCTTCAATTAGTTTTTTTTATTTTTCTCGGTGTGATGAAAATATTCGCGAGTACGCTGCTTCATGTGCTTCCCCAGCTATGACAGATATTTTCGCGAAATGTGGTTTTCTAAAGAGATTGCTCGTTTTTGTGTATTGTACTAGTGACCTACTTATTATTCTATATCGTCTACTCTTGTGATTGTTTTTGTTATTAGACACGCATACGTGAGTTGCTAATATTGTTTTAATCTTGATTTTATCTAACTCCATAAATGATAAGCTACGTATGACATTATTTTTGTCCAGTAAATGAGGTCGGTAATAACCGTTTTTCCATCTACTGAGCATATCTGTAGTGAGGAGGGTCCAATAAGCAATCAGGATTTTGTTTTTGGCATGCCGTAAAGTCTAGGTAAATCATATTAAGATGGTATCGGATAACGATGGTCTTTCTGACTCGTTTATTTAGCCTCAACTAATGTCCAATTCGGCATTTTTGGTGTTATCAATCTGCCCTGGGTCATCAGACACTTAGTATAGCGTCTGTTACGGCAACAATCTATCATCTTTCCTTTCCTTCCACAGCTTTTATGTATTTTGAAATAGGGTGACATTCAAGCCCCTGACTGGATGAAAGTGAATGGGAATTGCCATTGATTTGGGCTTTGGACTATTCGTTAATTGCTCGTGGCATTGTTATAAGGTCTTACAGTTTCGCTACCGCATTCTCCAGTCTTTCTTTCTCAAGTTTCAAGATGCGTTTAGTCGCGGCGCTAATTGCCTAAAACCGAAGAATGACACCGGAGTGAACCATTGGTCAGCTTATTTTACACAATGTGGCATCTTCGTTTTGGCTTGCCACATGCAGAGCTCATGCCCCAGCTCCATATAGCAAAATTTCCCCATTTGTAAAGTTTGATCCCCCCAGAGCCGCGGCTATCTAACACAATTGCTATTTTTATCTCGTAACGTGCCAGAGTCTGCAGGTATATTTTAGTTTGCACCA